TTCGATCAGACTTCAGTTTAAGATAACACTATTCTTATATTACTTGGATGCTTTCTTTAAATTTTCTTATCGAAGTTCTTTTTATTGTAATCTCAATGACCATGTTGACAATGTTTTACTTGAATTGGAAAGATAATTATGGAAAAACAACTTTTAAACTAAAGTAAGTAATACCTTTATTAACAAATACTTTGAAGTCGTATATATATCGTAATTGAACTTTTTTTTTAATAGTGACATCTCTCTGGATAAATTTTACGCGGTCAGCATATAAACAGTCAAATTAATAAAAATATAGGGTGACATCAAAATACTTAGCACATGAGATCGTATTGGTAACCGTATGTTATAATAAAATACCGATGGATATTTTGGAGCTGCCTTTTAATAAGTTTAAAACTGTTATTAAAAGATATTTATTAAATAAAGCCTATTACACATTAAACGATTACTTGAATGACAAATGTGCATGGTGTTAGTCGATCATGCACGGGCTTTTAACGACCATGTAATTTTAGACATAGTACATTTAAATAAATACACTAAATATTAAAAGAAATTTAAAAGAGTAACTGTTATGTTTCTTGCGGTCTCTTCCCAACAGATATCAATCTTCCGAACCCTGTAGACGTGTAGATAAAAAAGTGACGAATTAAAAGTCTATTTGAGTTAAGACGATTTAAATTGAAATTTGCAGTTAAACTTTGATGACGTTTTAAGAGGGACGCTGCTGCTCATACTTCGACTATTAAATTCCCTTAGTCGCCTCTTAAAAGAGAGAGCATATGGGATATATGACCCATATAGAGAGAAGAACCAATTTCTTACTATATGTACCATATTGTATTCTTGATCCTTTAGACAATACCGTGTTCTTTAATTCTTCAGCTTCTTCTTTTCCCCCCCTTATTTTTCTTGTCTTTTTAGAATTTTATAATGCGTGCCTTTCAAGAAATAATTATATAACCTTAGATTTTATAAACAGAGTGTCTCCATATAAATACTTCGAGAAAAGTGTGCCAACTTTTTCATAAAATTTTTCCGGATAAATAGTTTCCTTTACAACTTCTATATTTATTTGTTTTATAATTTTTGCATCTTTTTAATGCGTAATACTCATTTTATTTATTAAATAATTAATATATATATATATGTCAAGATACATTATGTGCTGAAATATATAGAGCACCTACTGATAAAAAACGAGTCAGCTAATTTGACAATTAGCTATATAATCTAAGCATATAATATAATAAATATTTTGTATTGATTATGCGAGTCATCCTTTGTTCGCCGTGTGGTCTACGAATGAAGCTGAACATTTTTCTCATAGAAATATGGGGCGAAAAACAATAAGAAATTTGAGCCTCCCATATCACATGGTGTGTCCAACTGTCGAGTATGGGTAGCTATAAATTATTTTAAGGGTTTTGTTGACATTGTTTTATTATCAAAAAATGAATTTTATGTTACATGGTGTGAATGAATATACGTGGTAAAGCCTAACTGTTACCAAGCTGCCTTCCGAACGTAGCAATAGCAACTACTGGCAAAACTCCCTTATGGGGGAGGCTTATGTTCAGCAGTGGACAGTCCAGGGCGTATATAATGATGATGATGATGATTACATGGTATAAATATTATGTAACTTTCTTAATAGAAAGAAATATAAAGAATACTTAATATTTATATTATAAAATAGCTTTTGCACACGACTTCGTCTGCGTCTACAGAATGTCTTGATTGAATAGAATAAATAGTAGCCTACGTTCTTGTCCATCCCAAATAGTACGTGTATACCAAATTCTATGAAGATTGATTAACCCGTTATAGAATGGCAGTTGGTATAGGATAAAAAAAATTGGAGTTTGTGTGTTTTCCATGTAATGAAAGAAAGAAAGATTTTTATTCAAGTAAACTTAGATTTAAGCATTTTTGTATAGCCATTTTTTCATTACAGCCCATTCGGAATGCAAAGAAGAACGGGCAGGAAACTTAGTTGCTTTTATACAATAAAATTAACTATACATATAAATAATGAATTTGTGTGAATACAAACTTCCTAGCAGCATCAGATCGTAAATTTTTCCAATAATCAATTTTAAACTTTAACCTTGTTTACATATATTTTAAATTCACGTACGGAACTTAATGCGACGTGATTACTAGTGAATAGTAGCTACATATGTACATATTTCATTTTTATTGCGACAATAATGAGATATGTTGGTTAATGTAAAATTTTACCAATTTTTCTTAGCATAAGAACCTTCTTTGGAGTTCATCGAATATTTAACAAAAAAAAAAACAATTACCTGAGTTTGTCCAGTTGTTTTAAAATTTTTTACTTAACAATATATTTATGGATTAATTTTTATTTATACAGATAGATGCAAAAATATAACCGTTTGGTTACACCAAATTACCGTTTAAAGCTTAAGAACTAATCCAAGTCCCATGAAATTTAATATACCTACATTAAGAGTAGAGTATTGTAATAGAGAAGGAAATAAGTTACTTTTTATGCCGGCCAATTAACATGTTCCAGACTCGCAGACGAAGTTACGGACAAAAACTAATAATCTTATAGATGGTAAAACCTTGGCGCTTTGAGAAGTAATAAACAACAAACAAGTATACTCACTTGATAACTCCTGTGAATTTTCGTTTCGCAAATAAACACTGCTACTACATCTAACTGCGATCACCATTGTAGAAACAAATTGAGTATTTAAACAGAACTTTTACAATCTATATGAAAATTGAATGTGTATAATATTTTTTTTTAATAAACCGAATATTACAAGAGCTATAAGTTAATGCCAAATAAAGACTACGTCCACGTGACTGTGATATGTTTATTGACCGGGATAAAAAGTTTCATCCCATTTTTCCTATATCCCCTTTTTCATCCTATATTCCCTTTTTCATCCCATATAGTGCGTGTATATCAAATTAAATAGTAATTGCTTAAGTCGCTATAAATAAACAAATTCACTTTTACATTTAAAAATAAAATTAATGAATCCTACACCTATCAACCTTTATCTATCAACCAATAATTTCTCTCTCTTTATATATATATATATATATATATATATATATATATACTCAATGCATACCTGACAACAAAATAATTGAGTGTAAAATGGTTTTAATTTGTATTTTAATAATTAATGGATAGTTCAATAATACAATATGTATGTATAATACAATAATGTAAAATTTGTAATAAGTTATAATTATGTTATAATCGTAATGTCTGTAAACTATGAGTATATAAGTATATACCTGAAAATAAAAAAAAAATATATTATTAATACTTTTATATATATTTGTTTGAAAATAAAATTATTACAATAATTACATAAAACGTCCAACAATCAAGTCTTAATGTTCTTCATTAAGTTTAGATAGATGAATTTTTACTAGGGGAAGTAAACATATATAAAGGGTAAACACAAGACAGAGGTATCTCGCAATTCGATTCCCAAGAAAACTCGCCTTAAAGAAGATTGATATAGGCACCAATAACATCAGGGAAGTGTACCTATTTGTAAACGGTACAATAAATTTAACTTAGACATCGTCGATGTTGCCAGCTTATCATAAATAAAATACTAAAATGTTACCGATGTGTTGCCGTGTAAATGACGTTTTCATTCGTTTATGGTATTCAATTTGTGCCATGGAATAATAAAAAATCTCTGATAAAGGAATGTCATGTTTTTACCGAGATGTGTGTACTATAGTCTAAAAAGGTTAATCAGAGGGAGATTTTGTACAAAAGTCATATAATTAGGTATTTTTGTCCTATTCGTGTTTCTCTTGTAAAGTAGTTGTCTTTGCATGGCTGTTTTTCGCTTTGAAGGACGGGATATGGCGTGAATTTACTGACTACAGAGGAATAACACCTGAGTCTTCAGGAATGGCAACGCAGTAGAGTCCATGGTATTGCTCATGTTTATAGGCGACGGTTACCACTTTCTATCAGGTGGGCCGTCAACTTGTTTGCCATTCTAAGTTGTATAAAAAAAAAATAAAGCACAGGATACAGAGGCAAAACACCTCAGTCCTCAGGAATGGCAACGCAAGAAAAGTATCACGGGCGACACAGTATATTCAGTTATGTCCGTGGTGCTGTTCATGTTTGTAGGCGATGGTTACCACTTTCCATCAGGTGGGCCAATAGCTTGTTTGCTATTTTAAGTTGCTTAAAAAAAGATTATTTCCGAACAGATACGACAACGAAACACGCATTTCATTTTTATCCATTAAATAAATTATGATAAATAAAATATAATAAATTGTGATAATAGAGAAAGCAAATTTAATTTAATGGAATAACTTAATAATTTACTATCTGAGGGTCAAGTGTACATTCTGCAAAGGTCAAGTAAGTGTACAGTGTACATTATTGTTTGTGAAAATGTACTCAAAATTCTGACGTAACCACATTTCGGTGAGCTTTAGTATTTACTGCTCTTAAAGTGCCAAGAAGTCGTAAACAAACATTTACATTTATAATTTAAGTAAGAATTTCTAACTATATTCCTTAGGGAATTATTTTTATTTAATTTACACATTAGAGCAACCATTTTCTTGTCTTCTTTTTGTGAATGCCAGTTATCACTACGTAGTATATTGTACTACGTCAAATACTTGGTATATATCAAAATAGTAAGAAATGCTAACAAAATAACCTCGAGAATAGAACCTACGCCTTCATTTATACAAAGCAACGAATTTATCATTGAACCTTAGAGGTAGTCAAAATATCACTCTTGATATTTTGGTTTATCTTAATTGAATGTATGCACTAACATTGATAGCGGATTAACCTATGTCTATGACGTCATACTGCATTTTATTAAACCGCTGTACCAGAAGTCACTACTATGCTACGATATTATCCAAAACATTAACCATATTACGTTTTTACATACTTGTTGCATGAAGCACAAACTTTCAGCCTTCAGTTTCAGTTCAGTCGAGTACCGACACCCGCTTGGTGCGTTCGCCTGTTCGCGTGCTGATTGAACAAACATTTGGTCTGTGCCCGTAGCTCGCGCGTTAATAAAAAAAAAAAACACATTACGTTTTTTTTTATCTGTGATGACGATGGCGGGTTCATGCATATTTTAAAACTATATATTTTTTTGGATGTGTTAATTAAACATGATGAAATAGTATAAAGTGAAAATAAATTGTAAATATTTAATGTGAAACTTAATGTGTTAGTGTAACGTTAATTAAATTTTCCAAAGCTTTTCAATTTTGCGGCGATAACGAAACACAGGTGAGGAGGATGTTTTATTATTTTAAAATGTATAAGTATAGTTAAAACATAGATCTATTTTAATCTGAGATTTATTTTTTCTGAATTATATTTTCATGTCAAACCCTTTAAGGAAAAAGTCCAGCGATTTCTATCTCTTGATATCACAATTCTATTCATTAACATTTAAGAATTTAATTACCATTTATAATTAAATTATTATTGCAGTTTTATATTATTAAGACGTCAAAATTTATTCTGTTACAATATACATAAATTATGATTGTAACATAATGATTTATAATAAATTAATTTTATATTACTATTTTAATTTTATTTCTCCGCTTACAGAATTTTATTTCTAATTATTTGTAGTTAATTTAAATTGTGTTATTCTCTACACATGATATATGTAAATATATAAATTTGACTAAAATAGATATATTTTCGATTATATAGATGGAGCATTGAGCCTTAAAAACGGGTCAACTGTTTATTAGCTAATTGTCAAATTTATTGATTCGTTTTTTTAGTCAGTGTCCTTTATAATTACGCATAAAATATATATCGACGTATTATATAATAAATAAAATGAGTGTTTACGCATTAAAAAGATGCAAAAATCCTAAGACAAACTAAATATAGAAGTTATAAAGAAATCACTCTTAACTACTTATCACGCAAAATTGTATGAAAAAGCTAACCTGTTTTTCTTAAAGCATTTCTATGTAGACACTCTATCAATATAATCTAAGAGATAATTATAATTAATATATAAAGTAAATTATTGTAAAGAAATATTATTATTAAATTCAGTATATGCAGCAGCTCATTAAATTCATTTATTTAAGGTACATTTAAATACAACAAAGTTAATTTTACATAATACAATATGAATTATTGGTAGTGATTAAATGTCTATTTTCTTCCAAAACATTACCCTGCTTGTTTTTCCACTACATTTTAAATATATTATAAATTAATAATTGTGCCTTTTGTATTATAGACGTTTACATTTAAACATTTAAGGACTTATATCTCTATTTAAGAGTTTCCTAAAGATTTATAAAGACAATGTTTTAAATTGCATAGATAAACAATTCTGTAGGTAATTTTATAATTTGTTGTATCAGCCAATTATTTTCCACTGCTGAACATAGCCTTGCCCATGAAGTATAGTTTGCCAGTAGTTGATAGATAGATATATAGATAGATAATTTATTTGCATTACTTACAGCACACAAATAACAATAGACATAGAGTAAATGCACAGTAAAAAAAGGTAAAAAAAGATACATATACAAAAAATTTAATAAAATAAAAACAAAATGCATATAATTAGTAAAAATTTTTTCCCTTCATGCGTGTGCCACAGTAACACAAAATAGTTGCCATGCTTGGCAGGCGGGTTGGCAACCGCAGTTTGCCTTTTGGTAATGTTTTATGAGGGACACTGCTGCCCATCTTTCCACCATAAGCTCCCTTAATTGTTTATTCTATGCCGGGACCTACAGGGCTCAAAAACAAGATAAATTTATAATTACGTAAAATAAATTTACGTCTATTCAAATATTATACAAATAACAAAGATGGAAACAAAGAATAGAATATATCTAATAAAACATTTCCAAGAATGTTTGCATAAAATTTTCTGTGCAAGCTAGATATTATATTTATTAGATATATACTAAGTTTTCTTAGGATTTAACATTTTCATTAGTTATGCAACAGAAAGAAAATGTTTTTTCTTTTATTATCGTTTCTTTTCCGAAAAATATTTTTCTTTCCATATTGAATTATAAGACGACGTCTGAAACGGAATGAGAGGCACGTTGCCTTATATAAATGAGGTTACGGATTCAGCTTTTTATCGGCCAATTTAAGAAAAAATAAACTTTTTGAGGAAAGACTGCGGGTTTATTTTCCAGATGGTCGTTGTCTTATTTCTTATCGTAGTCTCTCTTAGTTGTTATCTTAGATTGAAAACCTAATTAGTGGGATTATACTGTATCAGCCCTTAATTGTACATTGCTAAACATATGCCCCGCCTGTAAGTGGGAATATACGGGTTGTTACCATGCTTGGTGGATGGGTTAGTAACCGCAGTTAGGCTCTGATAATGTTTGAAAAGGGATGCTGTTGTCCATCTTTCGATCGTTAAGTTACCTCTGTCTCTTACGATATACATGAGAAAGTAAGGGTCGCTCCATTCTGTGCCAGGACCACACGGTAAATTGTGTGTGGTTAAGTAGAAATTATTACTATTACAAAATACTGATATACATATGTACGAGTACCATGAGATTTCGTAGCCTATTTATGTAGGTATACTTAAAATTGCACGTTATAGCAACTGTGGTTAAGATTTGTTTTAGTAGATATATATTTGTATATTTTATTATATATGTAGTTTTATTAAAAGCTTATAATACCTCTCTCTATATTTTACTTAAGTTAAAAAATCAGCTCATAATAATAAATATCTGCGATGAAAGACGTTATCCTATCTTTTTGTAAGCACAAACAAACCAGAGGAAGTAATAACTTTTTTATTAAACTTAGCCAAGGTATATTAATATATACACCTCCTGCTAACGTGACAGTGTCTGTACATTAAAAACATTTAGACAGAATGTATTTCTTTTTTTTTATACCACTGAGGTGGCAAACAAGCATACGGCCTACCTGATGGTAAGTGGTTACCGTAGCCTATGAACATCTGCAATACCAGAGGTATTACGCGCGCGTTGCCTACCCAGAAGAAACCTCTTTACCCCCTTTTGAAGAACTCCATGCTGTAGTCTCTTGGGAAACAATTCCTCTGAGCACAATCCGTTGTACAAGCTGTAGAACACGCAGAACACGCAGCAGTAAGGCAAAATCTCTCCTAAGACTTAAGGGTTCGATACCGCTTGCAAGCCTGGGATCATCGACAATTCTCATAGCTCGTCGTTGCAACGAGTCGAAAGGTTGAAGCTGGTATTTAGGTGTTCCGACTCAAATCTATAAATAAATATCATCTCTACAAATGTTTCGTCAGAATTTACATTTTGCTCCGCATAAAAACTATATTGTATTGTATTGTAAAATCTTTATTGTACATAATTTATATTGGATACATTAAAAGATTTAATATACTATGGCGGATTTATCCTACAAAGAGATCTCTTACAGTAAATTTTTTAGTAACTGAAAGTAAACTGTAGAATGTACAAGGGTAAAATTCGTAATTAATAAAGCATGCGTCAGAACAAATAATATAAGTCTATGCACTAGTTATCTGTTGGTCGACCATTTTTCAGGACCTGTCAGATATCATACTTCTAGATGGAGTAATGAGTATTCAATACTCATTACTCCATCAAGAAGTATGATATCTGATAATTATACAAATGGTTTTCCTAATTTCCTAATGATTTCGTTGTCTCTTTTACCTTATAATGCTTCCCATGAATAAGGTTGCTAACATTTCTGTATTGAGATATTATATATGTAATATATTTCTGTACATATCTATCGCGTTTCTACCAAAATACGATATATTTTGCGACGTTTATTTTGGACGACGTGGGGTAATTATTATGGTGTATTGCACTAAATTATTGGATAATATCCATCCGGATTTCCTTGTTAGCTATGTATGTATACATGTTTTTATATATTTCTTACACAGATTGAATGCGAAATTAAGGAAGTCTTCAAACAGACCAGTGAGGTTGAATATTTTTTCCAAAGAAAACATAGGTCAATAACCGATAAAAAGTTCGAGTCTCCCATAACTAACGATAAATTTTTTTTTTCATATTTGACAGCTGAATCGTTGCTTGACGTCATTTCATCATAGAAGGTTTTTTAATATCACTGAGGTTGCAAACAAGCATACGGTCCACCTGATGGTAAGCGTTTACAGTAGCCTATGAACGCAAAAGGTTCAAAATGTTTCTCACATTTCAATTTATATTTATTTGGGAATTTCAATTTCACTACCACGAGTAATTTTGTTTCTCACCCTTCAAACCAAAACACGGCTGTGTTTAAGTTTGAAGGGTGGGATATGGCAATGAATTTACAGGGTACAGAGGAATAACACCTAAGTCCTCAGGAATGGCAACGCATGGGGAGTATCATGGGCGAAACAGTATATTCTGTTATGTCCAATGTACTGCTCATGTCTATAGGCGACGGTTACCACTTTCCATCAGGTAGGCCGGTAGCTTGTTTGCCTTTCTTATTTGTATTTTATTTATGCAACTGTTTTATGGATTTGTGTATTTTAGTTTACCTGTATTCGTTATGTAATTAACCTATTATTTCTGTCGTAATTCGATAAACATTTTTAAATAATATAGAAATGCAAATTCATACATATTAAATATTCTATAAATACACGGGTCAATCAACTATGGGTTTATATTTGTGTTTGACATTGTCAGAACCACTAACTGTATTAATTTGTTTGCAGTTTCCAAGTTGAAAGCCAACAAATAGTTCAATCCCAATTTATTTCAACCACTAAAGGTTACAAACAGTTATGTAAATTAATCTATTTATAGCTATTTATTTAGATACTGACTGAAACTTTTTGACTGCAATATGACGGCAAAATTACGATACAGAATACTGGACAATTCATAAAGAATATGAACAAAATCTCCATATCAACAAAATAAAGATGCACCATCGACTGGGGTCAAAAAAATTGGTCATTGGTAATTGGAAAAAAAAATGAAATGATAACCCCGTCTGCGCTATCGATATACAATGGCGAGGCATCAGGAATGAAAGATATCAGATTAGTTAGCCCATGATTAATTCACCAAGAATTAACCACGATGGTTTCTAGAGGGGACTGGATGTTTGTCGACCTGATAGAGTACACTGTTAGCAATTGGGGTCATCAATCCCCATCACAATACTTCTTTCCCTTCAGAAACACGCAATGGACAGAGATATATGTAGACGAATTTTTTTTTCAACGTTTCTCTTTAGTAAATAAATAATAAGTAAATCTCCAATAAAGA